GTACAAATACAAAAAGGACCCAAATTCACCCACAGTAAACTTACGTCCATTTCCAAGTAAAATAAATTAACTTTAATTTAGGATCAAGCGATTAATTTATAGATGGGGTTACAACTTACGATTACTGATATGCCATGGAAATGATGCAAAGCCATTTCTGGAGGAATAAAGGTACATTTGCGAAAAAAGGCGTCCGTGCTTGCGATAAACAAGTTTAAATTTCAAAAGTCAAAGTTTGGTCTGAAAACTTTTATTTTAACCCAATATTGGTGCAAACAAACCACATTTGTTGCCATTTAAAGCAGAGTAAGCCTATTTATCTTCAATTGCCCTCCAAACTGCAGGAAGTGCGTCGAATCTGTGCCTCGATGCCGGATCTTACCAAGACGTCAACCATACAATGGAAAGTCTACTGCAGACAGGATTTACAAACGATTTGTGAATAAATGGGCACTCCATAGCCCTTTCTAACTATATAATCATCGACAAAACACTAATTTCAGTCATTTCTTCGACTCTGTAATGGAATCCAGTTTCAACATCGAATTTACCAGGACTCATTAAGGGTTGGTGTTCAAGAAATTGCACGTCTATTCTGATTTTGCACCAATTATAGTTTCTCATAATTTGAATAGCATAACAAGTTTTCAGCATTGCGTGGACGTGATCATCCAAGCCAGCCAGTCTTGGCAGCCAAGGACATCAACATTCCCAAATGTGCATTCTCTTAACGAAAATCTTGGGACATTAAAATAACTTATGACAGATTGCAAGCGAGTTTCCTGTTTAGGGTGATAAAGGACCCCGATAAGGCTGTTGGCGGGTTTTAGAAAGGTCTCTTGGTACACGTGATCCGAGTGTAGATGAATTGATTTTCCTTTTCAAGCCGTCTGGGTCACCACTGGAGTAGCACATGCAACTTTGTAGACAACAGGATTATGTCGAGGTGAATATCGTGTGGCTACCTTCATAAGTAACTAAACGAAAAACCAGACAAGGAGGATTTTTAAAAATGGAAGAGACATTCAATTTTATCAGTGATCACGAATATGGGGATAAAACCTCTGGTAACCCTAAAGATACCCGTGGTCACTCTGCTCTAATGGGAAGTAATCAACTGTCGGGAAGTTGCTTATTTGAAAGTGAATCTGCTGGAAATGCAGAAGGAAGTCCTGTCGTTCCATATTTGATTGCTATAGGCGAGAAAGACGGGAAATTTGAGCAGAATAATCAACCATGGGTAACTTGCACATCTGGTGACGAATTAGCAGCTCCAAGAACTCTCGGTACCTTTTCCAGAAGCTTAAACTATCAAAGTGCACAACTTGCGCATACAGAACATTTTCAAGTTTTAACGCTACCTAAACCGGTTCCAAATAACCTCAAAGGGGATTTTTCTGGAATACCTATGAATCGGAGTGAGCCTTCATTGACCTCAGAGTTAAATAAAAGAAGCTCAGCTGGCCGATGCACTTCCAAATCTTTTACACCAGTCAAAACCCAACTGAATATGAAGCTGCAGGATAAATTGCCCCCATCCAAACAACATTTAAACCACGAAGAATCTATAAATAAAGACCAAGAAAACTCTGATGCAAGTTTCTCTGTCTCTGGTATTGCAGAAGTTATCCAGTACGCTAGTGAAGGCCACGGATCTGACGATGGGGATGATGATGAAACAGATAGTTTTGGGCTATTAGGAAACGATTTCCGAACTAGAGAGTCAATATCCTACAGTCGTAGCCCTCTTATGAACAGTGATCAACCGAGAATAGAAACCCCTTCTTATCTAACCCAGTCTAGGTCCAACTCGTCACGATATTTTTGTGGCGGACCTTTCATAGCAGTTTCACCAGTGCAAGGAAGTGGAACAGGTCGACAGCTAACAAACACCAATGGCATTTCAAGAAGTTGTGCCAACGATCTTTCACGAATTTTTCGGCCTTCTTACCCTATTGCTGGTCCTACGAGGGTTTCGACGTTTCAAGGTTCCAACATGACAGCAAGAAGTTTTCCTATGGAAAACAGTTCCCTGCCAAGAGGTCGCCATCAAACTACCGAGGCAAGTTCGCCTTCAGCACATATTCACGCGGCTACATTTGAAGAGTCGAAATCTCTGTCAATGTCATCAGGTATTCAAATGCCAAATAAAATGCCAACTAAAACAGTCGGATCTTATTCAATGATGAATTCTCCTTCGAGACTGAAAGGTGACGGCAGAGTGAGATCTGCAGTTGCGAAAGCACATTCACTTGTGTCACATCCACCTCTAACTCGTAGTCACTTACCCAGGAATTCATTTGGTTCGGGAAGCCTAGGTAGAACAGATTCAGCCACCGCTGGCCTAACGAACAGGGCATATACGCCCTCGAAGGGGGCAATTGATTACATGACGGCTGGTAGTCATTTGCAACAGAGAAGTTTTTCACAAGTTGGGAAACCGATTAGTGCAGATTTGGCGCCGTCGGTGACTCCGAAACACGTGTTTCAAGGTACTAGAGACCAAAATGACAAACCTGCTACCCCAAGACTACATAGTGAACATCAGCAAAAATGTGCATCAGATATCTCAGTACATCGTTTCTCTAGTTCAAATCCGCATGTTAAAAGTGCAAAGGGAATCAATGGCTTCCAAACACCGACGAAAATGTCTCCTTATAAAACCAATGAATTACGTTTTAGAGCTGTTCAAGGGGATAGTAAGCACATTTCAAAGACGGAAAGTGGCTACTATTCAGAAGTTGAAAGGGGTAAAAAACCTAAAACTTATAAGAAACGGAAAGTATCTGAGTATGATGAGGATTCATCCGAGGGCAAAGCCCTTACTTCAGACACCAGCCAAAGTTGTTCATGTAGTCGGCTCCGGTCAAACGAACCGGGGCCTTATGAATCGATTCTACAGACTCTCCGGAAATCGGAAGGTGGAAAAATTGAAAGCGGAACCAATGTGTCACCCAAAGCAAGATTCAGTCCATGTCGAATTGCTATAACTGGATGTGAGCGACCCCTTCCATCAGTTACGCGTCCACCATCCTTTTATGACACTAAAAACGCGCCTGATGGCAGACTTAGCTCAGGGTGTAGAAGTTGCCTACCCCCTTATCCGAATTGTTATCGTTCACCTGGGAATTGCCACCACCAAGGAGCTAACGGGAGACCAAGATTGAGCTCGGCTAGTGGCTCTAGTGAGCATCAATTTTTTTCGGGTGACGCAAAATCATTATGTGCTAACTGCCGCCCACTTCCAAACTGTTGTTCGAAGCCAAATTTCGCTCCTCAAAACAATACTCCAACTCCCACCCCCCAGTCTCGATCACAGGGTCAGTTTGGGTCAACCTACGGACAGTGGCCGAACTCGGCTACCTATGCAATGTCCAAGAATTTTAATACACCTTCGACTTACCGACCACAGCCAAAGTGCTTTAGTGGGCCACTCATGACAAGAATGTCAGCATCTCCCCATAATTTAGACAAGAAAGAACCATCTTTTGGACCGTCATTACGCAAGTCATCAGTCCCACCATCCGACCGATCGGGCTCCACCCCTCGAGAATACTCTTTTAGCAGGAGCTCCGTAGAGGCACGCCAGACTGACATGCGGTGCGACAATAGCACAAGAGACTCCGAATCAAACGTAGAGGATCGGGCCTCCAGTCCCTCGAAATCAAAAGCTAAAAAAAAGGGTCGAAGTGGCAGTCACAAATTGACCATGGGAGCACCATTTGGAAATGCCTCCCGAGAATCACGTAAAACCGCTCGTGACAATCTGAAGGCAGGCTCTGTTGACACGCTTTCGGTGGACAACGAGGATAGCATCTGTGGTGCGGATATTAAATTTAGAGATAGCTGCAGAGCGTCCTGTGGAATGCCACCACTAGGCACCTCATCTTTCTACGGTGGATGTTCCGGCGGACGAGATCCTTTTCAAAGAAATTTTGATGATCTATCTGACCTTGATTGTCAGTCTCGTCCACAGAGTCGGCTTCAAAGTGTGGGTGACACAACCGCCAATAAACCCAGACGTCGGCCCAGTCGACGTTCCAACGGCGGCAAAGGTAACAAGCGCTTGAACAAAAAGGATTCCACAGACCCTGGAAGCTGTGGTAGCCGAAAAAATAAATCTCAACCAGAACTGGACTTGACAACAGGAAGTGATTTGCAACAACGGTGGTCGGATGCAGAGGGTTTATCGACAAAACGTTCAAACGTAAATAAAACTGCTAAGGGTGGCATGAAACGTTCACATTCCGAAGAGATCCCGGCTACGAACGGTACTCCTAGTAAACGTTCGTCTAGAAAACGTGATTCCCAGAGCAAGCAAAGTAGGCTCCAGCTAGACTGTGATCCATGCTTGAGTTATAAAGGCGCTAAAGGTGAGCAGCGGGCGATTAAAAAAGAATCCGCTTCTGAACCTCGTACCACTGGGAGTCTTCGCAAACAGTCACAGACATTTGAGCCAAGTGCAGAAGGTAGCAGGCGCAGATCGAAAATCAGAAAGTCTGGATCGTCATCTCGAGGTGGGTTTCCTCTTCGTCTAACTGAAAGTAGCATGGATTGTGATGCCTTAAGGAGTAGCAAAAGTGCGTTATCAAGGCCCCGATCTTCACGTCCTGGCAGTCGTCATCAGGAAGGAGATGCGGTGGCTGACGACGATAGAAAATCTCACTCTCGGAAGCAATTAAGCAAAAAATCATCCATAGAAAAACTTTGCTACAGGGACAACAGAGCCTCAATACTTCGACGATGTTTTATCGCGTTGAAAATTGCCGCAGAAAGGGACTCCTGTGAAAGCCTTTCTCGATGCTCAACTTCGCGACTGAGTAATCCTTGTCAGGCACGACGCGTCGAAGCTAATGAAGAAATCGAAGATGACGTATCTAACCATCTCGTTGACAATAGCGATAAAATGTCAACGGGGACTGATCCCATTCCCCAAATAGAGGACCCCTCTATGGGAGCAATTGTACCCCAGGATGACCCACCTGTTTGTGAAAAGCCCTGCCAAGTAGAAAAGAATATGGATATTAGCATAAAGCTACAGGGTCATGAGATTGTGTTGAAGGAGAATGGTGAAAATTGTGAATGTCCTTTTACGGGGTCAAATACACCAAGACAGAGCTGTGAACAGAAGCTTTACGGCAACGATATTGCAATCGAAGTTTGCGACCGAAAAATTATAATTAGGAACTATGCATCACCATGTCTAATTCAAGCAGATCGTTCCGATCAAGAACCAGAAGAATGCAACATAGCATCTTGCAATCAACCTCCTAATAGCTGCAGGGATAGCATTATTTCAAAGGGCGTTGGAGCCATCAGGCGGCTGTCTCAGAAGTTCTCAACAAAGCAAAATTGCAAATGTGAGCCACAGCCCAGTGAGACCACATCCCTTAATTCAGCTTCAGTAGCCGACGTGCACGCGTGTAGTTTTGAGGACGTCGAAGCTTCTGTTTGTAAACCAGCGACATCTGTTGCCTCTGCCTGCAAACCTCCAGTTAGCAGTCCTGTCGCGTGCGAATCTGCCGCACGAACACCTTGTGAGGGATTCACAAAAAGCGCCAATAAAGATAGCCCCTGCCGCCGTTCGCAGTTATCTAACGATGCATTGGTCAACAGTAAATGCTCAGCCTACCCAAAACCATGTGATCCAACGCATTCATGTTCACAGCAATCCAGTTCTTCATCTGTGCAGTTGCACAAGTGTGGGAGCCCGCAATCCTGCCAACAAATATCAGAGCCCTGTGGTAAATTCACGCCGCCGAGCGATAATATTTGTCAAGCCGTTGCAAGTCCTGCTTCGCCTTGCTGCAATCCCAGCACTTCAGTAATATTGCGTGCGCCCCCGAAGCAGGGTACAACTACAATGGAGTTTAAAGTGTCTTACGAATGTCCTAGCAACACTTCATCCACACTTCCAAACCATGGAGATGTGGAGGACGATCAGGCTCCCTCTACCAAATACAAAAGTAGTAAACCAAATCTAATGGCTAGAATTATGAAGAAAATGATTCGTGCATTTTCTAAAAGGAGTTACAAGACAGCAGAGAGCCAAACTGAGTGCGTAACAACCATTGAAATTGTTGAGTCCCGATGTGTCACGCCTTGCGACACCTCATCCTGCTCTCTAGCCCTCAACAACAGCCCTCCTAAATTTGCATGTTCCACGTATTCCACATCTCGTTGTGTTTCAAACCAGAGTCCATCATTGATGGATCTAACTGAAGACCCTCCTCTCACCCTAAACGTCACTGCAGCTTGTCCTAAACAATGCTCTCCTGTAATTACAAATGGCTGCGACGAGAACCAGAAGAAAACTATAAATGCTGACACAGCTTGTGCTGGAAGATTTTCGATTAGAAGATGCCAATCCAAACTTGAGAATAGTATGGAATCACCACGTACTAGCTTGTGTGACAGCGAAGATGAAGAAATTCAAGTCTCTCGTACAATGTCTTGTCCACCCAGAACCCTAAACACGCCGACTCCGCCTACAAGGACAACTCGTTTTTCCTTAAATAGCTTAGCCCCAAAACCGCAAGAAAAGGGCTGTTGTAATGCAGACATGAGAGGCAGCATGATCGGAACCCAGTTTAGTGCGATGAGTCAAGAAAGGTTGCCAAGCCTTTCAAGAACCGCTTCAAGGCAGTCCCTCACGTCGGTAACGGCTCTTTCGCAAACCACGAAGCTAAACCACGAACCAAGGCATGCCTGTTCGGTCCCTAACAATGAGCGAAGATATTCCGAAAGAGAAACCTACCCATCACACGTTTCGTATGCTCCGAAATCTGAATGCAGCTGTAGTTCCGAAATTTTATCAAAAAATAGAATGGGACCTGGAACTATGCACTGCAGCCAACCTGTCAGAACGTTTTCAAAACCTTGCATTAGAGATATCCCTTCTGTGAATATTGTTGATGCTGAAGATCTGCCTGGAGAGACTTCCTCGTTGTCACCGTCAAATCCGGAAAACAAAGATAGATTGACGGTACGCTGTCCAGAAAATTCGATTAACCATAGCTCATCGGCTGAATTCGAGGACCTCCAATGCCAAAGGCACGATGTGGGCTTCAAAAGCAAAGAAGGTAGGGAATACCTTTCGCCAACTCATGCAAACCACACCGCTTGTTGTGCCTGTCACATAGTCACTCAAACGTCTCCAGAAATGTCAACGAAACAATGCGGCATGAGTAAGAACGAAGAAATCAGGAGTCCGAACTTACCTTTATGCAAAGGAGCCAATAGCAGTCTAGAATATATCGGATCTGAAACGAATAAAGCTGCCAGTACTTTCACTCCGGTGAGGAACGGCTGTCTCAAGAAAGGTGAGAAGAGATCCCGTAGCGAATCGAATCTAGACTCCACCCACTTTAATGTTAATTGTCAGGATACTTCAAGTTCCCGCAATTACTTCCGGAGCCCAACCAGAAAGTTATCCCTACAAGAGGAATCTCTTTCACATTCACGACGGGGACATGCAAACTCTTGGAACAATTTGAAACCGGTGCCGATGTCATCTTACTGCGAAACTTCAACAAGGATATCTAACGGTGGAATTTCGGCAGTACAGGCGTTTTCAGACAATGGGTTTTTTAAAGCTTTTAACTCAACGGATTTCAACTGTGGAATAAAAAATAAGCGAAGTCCTATGTACCATATGAAAAGACATCCTTGCCATTATTTCACCTCAACCTGCAGACTTTCGACATTTCAATCTAACAGAAAGAAAAGGGCATTCAACCGAATTAAGAGGATTCACCTTGACTCTCGGAGGTCAATAGATGAGGAGAAATATTGTCAAATGTTGCCAAAAAAAGCAGCACGACACCGGCGTCAGTTAGTGCCATCGCGTGGAATGGTGCGAACACCACGGATATCGGTAAGCAAAATGAAAACTAACTCGAACTTCATTCCACCATCGAGTTCGCCCGCTAAAGATCCCTCCCAGGTTCCCTTACTGCATCAAATCGAAAATGATTTGCAGAACTGTCGGCTATCAACGAGTATGGATTCCATACACCATGGTTCAAGATACAGGGGTCCAAATCCAACAGAATTAAATAGTGACATAACCGAAATTGCAGGCGTTGATTTAGTGGAAAACGAACTGATGTTATCTCCGCAACTTGGCTACATAAACGCCAATGAAAATAATTCATGCACTGTTTACCAAAATACTTCCAGCTCTACGCCAGAAAACTTGCCTTATAATCAACTCATAGATGTGTCTTTCTGCCACCAATCAGTTTCACGGAAATGTCGAATTGACCAGAAGGCCAACCAATCCTATTCATCGTCTGTTCCTGTACGTATACTGAACTCGCAGAATTTTAATACCCACCAGACACATTTACAATCCTCAATACAAGCATCTGTAAGCAGTTTAGACACCAGTGCATCATTTTCTGTTAGCGATCCAACTGTGCCCAAGTGTTTAGGTAAGCTACAAGCTATGTATTTAAAAAAACAGTGTGGGCAGGACCAACAAACAGGACCCTTCACTCGTGCTGTACTCGCATTTTTAATTTATTGTCAACGTTGCTTTAAGTCACTGCAAAGGAACACTTTTGAGGATCTGCCAAGAACAGGCGACTGTCTTGTTTGCATTATCCCACAAGATGAGCGCTCATGTTTTTTTGATTCAGCCCAAATACATACCTTGATTGAAAGTTTAGAACGCTACAATCGACCTTTAGATCAAATAAAAACGCAGACCGCTTTGGATTTAGGTGGAGCCGAAGAGAAGCCTCAGTGGTGTGGCCAAGCAGGAAGAATAGAATCCTGGCTAGTATCCGGGATCCACACTACACCGGCACCTGCAATAATCTCTATAAGCGGTCCCAGCATTCGTCCGTTCAATGACATTACTGCATGTCATTCCTCTGAATTCTTTGACTTCATTTCGGATTTCGTAAGTAAAGACCTTCCTAAACAACCTGGGTATGTAATAAAGGCACTTCACTGCTCAAAGAGGACGAAATGGTGTGAACCTAGGAATTTTCTGATTTCAATGACCTTGTTACTAAAAGAGTTTGATCAGTGTGACTTGAAAGAACTATTTGGATTTATATTTGGAATAATTTGCACGCTGCCTTCATTGCCCTACTTTTCACAACCCATTACAGCATCAATACTACATAGTAATGGTTATCTTCATGTTGTGGTTACAGTGTTTGATGCCAAATCTAGTGAAATTGGAACATATACCGACGATGGATCCATTGCAATACCAGGCACAAAACAATCCCCAAGGAACTTTGGGGCTGATTTCATTTATACTGACCAGTTAGCGTCGACATTTTCTCTCTCATCTCAAACCTCCAGTAAGAGAGTGGTTGTGCCAGCTCAAAACAGCAAGAGGGATGTCTTTTCATTCCTTTGTTTCTTTTCTTTATCCCAGTTTATTGGCGCACTGAATAATCTCTTGCAGTCAACTGCTGTGCAAGGCCAACTGAGCCCCAATTTAGATAACTCAATATGTGTGGTCAGTTGGGTCGATAATGATGATGAAGCGTGCAGAATTATCTGTCCTTTAATGAGGACCAAAATATCTGCCCTTTGCACCTTTGACTCAAGGCCAGGGAGTCCTACATTGGCACATTCTGTTGTAACGTCGATCGTCTTCGTGCGATTTGTATCCAGATTCGGTTGGTGTTCCTGTGCTGGAATCCCGCATATGCGCAAATACCCTAAACCACACAGAGACCCAGATGAGCAATCACAAAATAACTCCCCATTTCAGAATAATTCTTGCCAGCAATTTCAGGAAGGTCGAGAGATGGCACCCTCCTTTACAAACGACGGTGCTTCCTCAAAAAGACTTAGGCCTCGCTTTAAGAGACACTTGCAAGGCTCATCACCAGTCCATTTAAAAAATTCACTGAAGAGGCGCGGACTTGATAGCACAAACCAAAGTAGTCGCCACATTGATTACTCCGTTAGAGTCCCTTCTCTCCAAACGAGTGTCCAGCTACCTCCATCCAGACTAAATCGAAAGGATGACTTTCAGAAGGAAATATCGGTTGAATATAGTCCTGCTAATTCAGCTACGAGAGCCAACCAGATGATTAACTACAAACCGCTATCTCGTACAATAGCAGATGGGGATGTAACTCCACAGCTGAATACCTTTGACTTCTCGTGTCAACTTGAACAGAGAGGGATTACAGTGGTAAATTGTCAAACAAGAAACACCGAGGATTTGTATTCAGAAGAAACTGAAGAATCAGAATTGACGGAGGGTGAAGAACAGCTATTATCAACACCGACACTGCTGAACAGCCTTAGCGAAGATCCCAGAACAGGGGACGGTTCTTTGTCAAGCACCACTCCGGAATCTTACAGTGAAACACACGGTAACACCAGAACGGCAGCAGACTCGTTTGTCTCCGACTCACGTGCATCTACGCCTAGTGTCTGGAACGACAAACTTCGAGGTTCTGGAAAGGATCGTCGAAAATCAACCAAAGTCCCAATTAGAAGCAAAAATCCACCGACTTTAACAGAATCACACGTGAGCACTAAAAGAAGGAAAGCACGTCATGACGCAGAAGTCGATGCTAAAAGCTTTCTCACTAACCTAAATAAAATTTCGGAAGGAACTGTGAAAGTGGGTGACTGGAATCTCCAAAGGTTTAAAGGAAACAGGGCCTTTGCTCTTCGCAAAATGCACAACAGCACTTCACCTTGTGTAAAATGCTCAGCTTGTTTATCCGACATGACACCAGTCTTTACTACTCGAAAATTTGATTTACCTGGAGTTAGGACTGAGGCATTTCAAAGTTCAACGTCTGAAGCCCATTACTTAGCCAAAAAAGCTAATGGACCCGATAATCCATCTCGGTCATGTAAGCCACGGTTTTTCAGCAAAAGGGCCAACGCTTGCGGTGGGGACGATAGGCAAATACCTCAATTAAGGAAACATCTTTCCAATAATTGTGGCAATGGCATTCGACCCATTAAACGCCTAGCGGACAAGCAGCACATAAATGACGACAAGGCAAGCGGGTATTCGCACTCCAGCGAATTTGCGATGAACATCAGAAGCCTTTCAACGTACCCGGGTGAAATAAACAATGATCTCACCCTACCGGCAGGTACCATTACCAACTTGAGGGTGTGTAATCAACCTTCACAACGCAATAAAAGACCGCGCGGCTCGTCACAACGACGTACTGGTAAGCGTTTTAGCCCGTCTAGCGTCTCCACTAATTCAAAATCAGGAACAGCTTCGTTGCATTCTCAACCTGGAGTCAAGCCGAATCAAGTGCCATTCAGGGTACCAGACCCCTCTATCCATCCTAGACGCCGTAAGCTCGACATTACTGGGCACAGACAGGAAAGTCCAGTTTCTGATACAAGTGAAAGAAGCAACGACGAAGGACACGGTGCTAGGTCATGGAGAGTACCTAGTACTAAGCTATTTCTGAAGAAGGGCAATACCAATTCATGGAGGCAGTGTACACAGGAGGGTCGCTGTAAGTGTCGACCGTCCTTACCCAGGCATTTGTGCAAGTTTGAGAAACGGAAGATTGACCTGAAAGATAACAGAAAGGGTGGCACGTGCAGCACTGTTGATGCTTCCGCCAATACCGGATGTTGTTGTAGAGCAAAACAAGAGGAGCCTTCATGCTCATGCTTAAATTCTCAATCTCTAGATTCATCATGCTCCATTAATTCTTCAGACCACCCAGTGTGCTCAGAAAAGGACTCGGAAAACAGTGGTATAAGCATCCAGTATCCATGCCGAGGAGATTCGTTACATGCTAATATTGGCAGATTTTCGGAAATAAAGTCCTCGCGACAGCGAAATTCTAGTGGTGCAGTTGATGCACAATTGAGCATAAACAGGCGACGTCCTAGATTCTTGTGGATTGAAGAAGCATTTCCAAAGTACAAGGTTGCTGGATGGAGTGTGAGCCCTTCCACTCCGCCACTGGCGATAACCTCACAGCTATCTGACTACGAATCTAGCATACAATCACCCGTCATTTCACTGAATTCACAAGATTGCTGTTCGCGCTATCCTACCCAACGGCAGCTCCAAAATTCGTGTGGGAGCAATGAATTTGGAGGTGTAATTCACAAAAACACGGGCCTATCAAACATGAGTTGGCTTGTTTCATTGCCTAGTAATTCTAACCTCCTCCAACCGAAGAACTCCACTGGATTATCAAAACTCGGTGGCAGGGCTGGAGCACCAGCAGTAAAAGAATCATCCAAAGGTCTTTGCATCGTGGAAATCTAAATGGAATATGAGCTGGTAGCCTCATTTAAAAATAGCTACCATTGGAGAGAATCTACTAATCACGTTTCGTCTTTCTTTATAACACAACCAAATCCCCCAGCTTAGAAAATGAGAAAATCTGGTAAAGGGGTCCCTATTATAGCCTTTGAGAATTGAAAAACGCCGGTTATGCAGATATCATGCAACAAAAATTTCCCATTTTAAAGCGGTTTGAGTTTGACAGGAGTAAAAGAGAGATTGAAAACATCCACACGTCTAAACCCGAACAATCGAGGAGCGGACGAGTTCCATATCGATTCAAATGCGGAGATTGGTTCCGGAGTTATTAAATCATATTTGAACAACTTTACATTTTACAGAAACCCATGCGATATCCCTTGCTACGAACATCTGTGGTAATGTTAACCTTCTCAATCAAGCACATAGAAATATCCGGATCGAATATGAGAACATTCCAGTTGTATATAAAACCTGGCAGTTGCAAACAGTTAAATAATTCAGCTGACTTTTGACGGATTGAACAAAATGAATTTCTGTGTTTATGTTGCGAAATCACCTTGGAGACACCCACAACACTACCTGCTCTGAATGATACGCTACTTAAGTCCACAGAACATTGAGCCAGCGGCCTCTAGTGCGACCGTAGTTTTGAAAATTCCTCTAGTTGACCAGAGATTCGCCATATTTAATTATACTCAAACATTCAAAGCATTGTGAAACTCAAGAGGACGAGAATCGAGTCAACATGGAAATTTCTCAACTTGAAAAATTTAACAATCAATCTCTACCGCCATTCCTTACAAACATATCGACAAAATGGCGAACAAGCGACATTGGATAACTGAAGTTAGCCAGCGAAATTCCCAAGACGCATTTTCCTTAGTTGGGCATTGTTAGCATCATCGAATTCCACTCGAGTAATCGCGATGTTGCTGCCAAACCTCGCCTGTGCGTTGCCAGATACTGAAAGCATTGGAAAAGATGGATTGCCACCTCTCCTGTTCAATTCAAAAGGTGTCGTAATCACCTACATACCACGACTAACCGCGTACTGAGAGAACGGGGTACTACGCAAGTGTGAACGATGCACTCATCTACGCGAACAACACAAGAGGTGGGGTGAGATAAATAGGCTACCTACCAAAGAAGCCAGCAACTCAGGATTACCAGCCACTTTTTTCGTCCACAAATGTCGGTTAAATTAACCAAGAGGGAAAGAGGAAAGTCCCTCGTCTGAGAAGCATCGGCAACAACCAAGTAAATCCTGCGCTTTACTATAGGCAGCCACTTCCGCAGCTTTTGGAATGGCAACGGCTATTTAATTGTGCTAATTTATGCAATCAATTTCTGGGAGAATATTTTGGTCCCAAAGTTGTCCAATCCGAACCATTTCATTCCTCTAATTTGGATATTATGCTTATACGTTTGCCATTTAATGACAAAAAATTAATTTTGCAAAAAATGAAAGTTTTTGCTGTATAGACTTGTTTTGTTGTAAAAGCAAAGTAGTCTAATGTCGTTTCCGGGTATCTTGGAAAATCTGAGAAAGCAAACAGTCATGGAGGACAATGTAGCTTATATCCAGATTTGAGTGCCTTTCTCAACTCCGTAGTCATCATCGAAAGCCTGAAAGCCACTTTTACCTTAATGAAACTGGGAAACTAATAGAAAGCAAACAAATGACAAGATTCTAAATGGATAGCTCTTGAGAATTTTCAGATGCTTTACGGAAACCATGGAGAATTTCTAGAAGTTAGGATAACAAAATAAAGACTGCTCCGAAATCTAACAAGACTATATTTAGGCCTATCAGGTGAAAACCGAAAACATTTGTTCTTAACCGTTAGCGCTTGCCCAAAATTCAACTTAAATTGACATTTCTAATTAAGGTGAGTTTCCAGAGGGCCTGATAAGGCAGCGGGCACATTTAACTGTTGGGTTCAGTTCTTAAAGCAATGTCTTTCCCTCAGCCATATCTAAACCCCTTCACGTGATGTCACCTCGTCCAACATTTCGGAACCCGATCACAATGCAAATCACTGTCGAAAAAGTTGCAATTTCAAAAAGCCAGATGACACATTAAAGCAGTGGATGCAAGAGGCATGAAGTGGCGAATTAGGGCAGGGAAAAAGGCATGTGGACGCTTTAGAATAGACGCCCCAAATTGAAATGAACCTGGGGCAAGGCACTCCGGAGTGGCGATTGTAAACAGGATCCTAATGTAGTGTGCTTAGGCCAAATCATCAATTAGTCGAAAAATGTAAACTACAAAAGTCAGCCATCGAGTTCCTTACACATTGCTCAGATAGCCGGGACAGGCTTAGGTATGTGGGAGTGCCATAGCATGATAAAGCACAATGCGCCCCAAGAATTTATAAGTCCAAAGACGAAATAAACCCAGCCGTTTATTTGGCAGATAGAGAAGTCTTCCAGCACGGTGCGTACACACGTATGAATGAGAATGGGGTGCTTAGTGAAGGTAATGAGTAGACAACAGAAGAGAAACGGAGTTACTACAATGGATAAAAGGCGTGGTAGCACGAACCCCTGCAGGTGTGAACTAAATATCTTTACTACAAACACGTAGTGATTAAAGACACCTGAACATTCAAACCCAGGAGCCAAATTGCAACAATCGAGTCAGGCTACTGTTCTAGTTGGGGATTATTTTGAAAATACGCTTTCCAGGAAAATGTATGGCTGAAATTCCTAAATATCACAAAGATCCTTCATGTGACGATCGCCTCAACCCACCAAATTTACACACCGGTTGAGAATTTCCCAGGCCTATTCCCTTCTCCTGATTATCAATTTCAGGCTCCGCATCAGCATTTCAAATCACACTAATGAATGCAATCCATCCAATCACGATACCGTCAAAAGTGTGGTGCATACACAACCGTGGAACCAAGCTCCGGTTGATAATACAAATCCTGAAACGAGAGTCTTTCCCCAGTGATAGTGATCGGCCTGCAGATCCCCTCCACCAATCTGACCCCGCAAAAGAGGAAGTGTTCCAGTTTGATTAAAAACCGTCACATACACCTTCCAATTCTTCGTAATCTGATAGCCTTCAATCCCACCTCGATCACACATTTGACGATAACTCGAATTCCTGAACTAACTTTCAAGGGACTAAAAGTGGTTAATTGAAGAACACCCCAAGGCTGAATTGGAGTTAGCAAATTTGACAGCATGCCAATCCCATACACCAAGTCCCAGATAACTGATAAAACATTTACCTAATTTACCTACTCGTTTTCTTGAGTGAAAGGTGTGATACAATTAATGAATGACTCAGTCCTCAGTCTCCCAACAACAATAAGGTGCATATATTCGCGCCAAAACAATGTAGACATTTTTTCTCGACATATCGTCTAGGTACCGAATTTTCTAGAAAAATCAGTTGGTGGGGTACAAATCTCGTAGCACGGTGCCTTGCGAACTGGCGTGTGCACGCTCACACACACACACATACAAAAGGAGAAGCAGTTGGAGGGAAGCGTGAAATTGAAGAGGGTTTACCACCTACGGTTTCTCGAGTCTGATTGTAGGCAACAGGAGGTGCGTCGGAGTGCGCTGTGTATTTTGGTTGGATAAGAGAAATAAGGTCAACCAATTTTAATGGCATACATGGTGTTAAATGTTGAAGTAGCAGCTGGACGAAAGAGACGGGGATTGTAGGAGCAGAAAATGAACACTTCAGATTTAACTTAGACACTCGACAACGGCCTGTCTCTCCTTCTCTTCTAGATGGGCCATACAAGCTTCGAAGACAGTCGAGTTGCTCTATAAAAAGAGCGAGGCAATGATGTAAAAAACGCAACAAAAGAAAAGGTCATGCTATTAACTAGCGTAGATGAGAATTATACGTGAGAGATCGATTATGTGAAGTGTAGAAGCCATTTTAGAGGTAAACTAACTCGGATGAGCCGCAGAATCGCAACACAACGATCGTAGACTGAGACAACGTCGGAACCAGACTTGTCCCCATTAATCTGCTTATCGCTACCAACACCGTTGGGAGCAACCGAAGCCCCACCCTCCTCGTCGTCGGGTCGTGAGAGGGCTTTCTCCGAGAAGACACGAGCAATCGCCGAAACAATGCGCGGCAGGTTGGTGTTGGAGGGACCGCCAAGGACGGCAGGGTTGTTGGCCTCCACCAGATCACAGAGATAACCGTACACATGATCAGTTTCTTCTTCATCCTCCCAAATTGGCAACCAGGTGAGCCAACGAGCAATCAGCGCGTTCATGTCGTTCAGGCCAGCTGGAACCAGGCATTCAGGGCGATATTTCATCATCTTCAATAAGAACAAAAAGGCGACATATAGTACATTGAATCGTCCTCAGGAGCGCTTATTGCATCGAAACCAAGAAAATGGTTCAAGCCAGTTGCACTAAGTGGTCCAATTACAGCCTATGAAAGCTGGTAGACAGTAGAGTTCAGTGAGAATTTTATTGATATCGTAGAAGAAAATTTAACTTGAACTAATCGAGTTTTATGGAGTCCAAAGAGGAGATTGTGGTTAAATGTCATGGGCGCAAATCCTCATTCTGAAATTTCTCCTGGTAGGCCAACGCAGAGGACACGGCTGCATCATCAATTCGCAAACAAAATTTTACTGAGTGAAATAAATGAAAATAGACTTTCAATCAACTACTTAAAAATCAAGGGATAGCAGAGAAAATGCAAATATGGATCGCAAAGTCATCGTAGGGCCCAGGACAATAACTTCCTTTAACCGGGCCTGTCTAACTATCACACATCGGACTGAAGGCCCCGGGTACCAAATTTGTTTGGTGAAATGTATACATAAGACCGAGAGTCCAGATTTGTGTACTTGTGATGACGGAATGACACCGCCCTCAATTCTATTAATGGAAGTGTTGACTAACTGACTGACTGACTGACAGTGAAATGAGACCTTTGGAGCATAATGGAAACAGTCAGCGCATAGGAGGTTTGCTACGCCTCAATACCAGCCGACAATGCGTGAACGAAGTCGCCTTCACGAGCGGCAATGAGTGTGCGTGCGGTGGCCCTTGCAACACTGGTGCCTGAGCCGTCCTTTCCAGCTAACGCCTATTTAATCCCATGACACGGTCAGAGTTGAGTTCTGAGATGCGGAGACATTTTGTCTACCTGATCATGAAAGGGAGCTAGAAGTACGCAGGCATTGTTAAAACCCATACAATTGAAACGTGAAAGAACGCGCGACAGACTTGACGGATTCTCACACCATAAGTAGAGGCTGCAAAGCGGTCTTAGCCCATTTTTTTTACAAATAATGAAGAAACTGAGATCAAATTATGATTGCAGACTGGAGTAGTTTAGTGGCTGAAATAAAACCGAGCAATTTGCTACACCGTGGTTTTACGCATGCGTTTACCGCGTGGCCAGTCAACAGCACACAGGGGCAGGATGCCTCGTCGACATAAACAGAACAAGTACGTGCTCTGAAGTAAGTGGACCTTAGTTGGCAGGTGGCCAATGCGCAGGCAGATGGATTGTGTGCTTGTGCTAAATCAAGGGTCGAAGTTCAAGCAATAAAAATTGACACAATGGCATCGGTTTGGCATCCCTTGCCCGAAAAAAATAAGCCAAGTTAGTTGCATCATCACATTCACAATAATCCTATGCATTCATCGACAGCAAAGGTACCGAAGTTATTCTTTTTGACCATGAATTAGTGAATCTAACATTTGATTACCTGGTGTAAAGTTTTAAAATGCGCTCATTCTACCGTTTTCCACACCACCTGGGCAGCACAAACCGTCGCGTTGAAAATCATCGGCTCAAAGCGCCAATCTCTCGACCCGACTCATCGTTACTGTGTGTAAATAGTATAAAATCGCAAAATATAAGTAGTAAATTGGAAATTTAAAGTATCTGGCATGGAATCGGCACTTCGGATGCACAGAAAATGGATTTACCTTTGTTATAGAGGAAACCGCGTTCTCACGGCAGATGTTATTGTCCTCGGTTGCAGCGTCAGGAGCCTCGATGATCTGGATCAGAGGCGGTACAAAATCGGCAAGAGTGGCTGTATAGTTTGGCCCACCGAACATCGCGGCAACGCCGATTCCATAAATGGCAGTTTGCCTGATATCGTTCTGTTGGTGCATTATTGCTCGCGCAAAAGCCGGGATGAAAAAATCCTTTAGAGCAAATGACTGAGGCCCAGTGTGTTCAATTAAGTCTGCACAGAAGCACAGGCCCCACTGCATATCAGACCAGGGACGGTTGGGCTCCTATATCAGGGAAATACAATTAATAGTTACGCTTGTCGCGACAAACTACGACTACGCCAACTAGGCAGCGAACGCGCAGCGACACATTAACTACACATTCCCATTGACGCCACTTTATGGAAGAAGTGAAGGCCATTGACTAAGCGGGAATTTTTAGACCGAGTAGCCACAGTAACAACGCCCATAGCAATTCGAAGCCTCCCGTTTCAACAGTCCTAGGCACAAAACTTGAATTGGTGGCAGGTGGTGCTGAGGACTTCGTTACTTCGAATGACATAGCTAATGAATAAGCCCCACCAAAACCAAGTTAGCTAGGCATATTGCACACACTATAGTGTGTTTAGTCAGTTGAACACCAACCACGACCGGTCGATAAGTAGCCACCGAAGTAAAAAGTCCCCTAGTACAGTTAACGCTTAAATCAGCGAAGTATCACAACTAGCGCAAGCACATACTAAGAGCTTCACGACGTGGACCATGAGCTGCTGGAAAAGGGGAAGGGCGTCAGTCTTGTAGGTCGAGAAGATGGCTCGCATCACTTCGCACATCTTCGAGAGCACATATTCGTCTTCATCCTTCTCCGACAGGATACGCTCCTCCTCCTGTTCATCGTAGTCCTCATCCTAATTTAAAAAGGGATAACACGGGAAATTGCTTTCCTGTCTCAAACAATAGCACCTTCAGAAAAGCATCCAACGTAGGCGCGGTTCGTGATGATCTAAACGAATACCCACCTGTCGTTTAGCGGTGCGTTCCTCGTCCTTTTCGAAATGCTCATGAAAGAAGCGGTCGAGAAGGCGATGAATCTCCGTCATTCGCTCGTAGTTAAGGTAGCCGACACCGAGGCGTTCAATACAACCGGCAAGAGCCTCCAGGTGGTCAGCTACCAGCTCGCGCTCCGGTTCCGTTGAAATGGCCTCAAGGAGTTTGTTGAAGACCTTATCCCACGCGTCGGCAACCAGGTCAGGTCGTGTTTTTTTCATACTATCCATCAGATAGGGCATAATCTCAGAGGCCGCACTACGAATCTGAAATGGGCAGAGACAGGTGTGAAAGATACAATTCTGCATTCGGAATGAATTGGTGACTGTTCAAAACGCGTCTATTTTCAGGCATTTTGACTTTAAAAGAAACAAATCAGGACCAATTTAGCTTTACGGACAAAATAAATGAACACGGTGATAGGTTCTGCTTTCATTCCTACTCCGATTTTAGGCTATGAAGACCCTGTATTGGAAAAAAATGGTGATGGAAGCGGCCGAGCGAACACCGGTCTTAGACATACGGGAATGCTCGTGCGGTAAAATCTACCGTCGTTCATTAGTGTACACAGAAGATTTTGTTTAACAAGTTAATTGCTAACGCATAATAACCGAGTCATCCATGAATAATTGCGCACACTGAATTCCGCAATATTTATAGAAATTCTGAGTCAGACTATAAGTCCTACCAAGCCCAGTAGGCAATGCTTTAAAATGCAGCTTTTAGGCAGTCTTCTTTACAGAAGAACTATACCTTGTCGTTGAGGCATAAATTGAGCATGGGGAGCATGGTGTTAAGGACCTCTTCACAATAGGGTGCAAAGCTCTCCTTCAACTCCCGGGCGTAGCACACGAGCATTTGGCAAGCAGTGGCCTTATCCTCAAGGGTACTAAAAAGGAAAGAATTTGCACATAAGGGGACAGCCTAGTGAGGTATTGGTAACAGGACATCGAATTACCCTCAAGTTTGGTGGACCGAAAACCCGAGACCTTAGCGTTAATTTAATGCATGAAGGAACGTGTACGCGGAAATAGAACTCCATCTGGAGCGAATGCCTAATGACACTCCTAAATAGTGATTGGATCAAGTTAAGTGTAGAGGTGCGTAGCGAATTCGTAGAAGTGCAAAACAAGGATATTTTCTAGCTTGAGATTGTCTGCTGGTGATCTGCAACTTTACGTCGCAGGAATAAAGACAGTCCGAAGGTCAGAAAAAGTAAACATGACACCTGTCAAACACCCACATCCTTGAATAATTTAAGAACAGACCCGACCCCCAAAAGACTGATATAGTCGGGAAGTGAAAGTGATCTGCGGCCATCAAAGAAGGTTAGTTAAACCGCAAATATTCACACAGATGGGTTCACCTTGAAAGGCTACACGGCATAACAGCGATTCCCATGTACCATAAGCTTGCGGGAATAAAATAACGTAAAAAACAAGTCCTACGCAGAGGTCTACACAGGTTAAATTTGTATTAAAAAAACTAGGAGTATCCCTAATAGCGCCGACTTCGACAACATGCTAGGTCGAAATTTATTTCGATGTGTGTAACGCATAACCACCCACCTGGTTCGTATGGCGCAATTTTGGTCTTCACCAATGGGTAAGATTTGCCAAGACTCGGGATCAAAGTTCTCGGCCTCATCGTCGTCCAGAACGCAGACCTTTGGAGCCAGTCGCGCCGTTCTGAGTACCTGGGGCATGACGGTGGGCAGGAAGGGTTCGAAGGAACGCCCCAGGAGTTTGCAGATACGGGCCCATGCCGTGATAATGTAATTTACTTGTGGATCATCATCAGCGAACTCGTCCTCACCAGATGCGTCGCCTGTGCCCTCAGCTGCCGTGTCAGTTTGTGTTTTCATAAAGAGCGTCATGATGGAGCTAGCATCCTGCATGAACCTCTCCTTGCCCACAGCGAGGACAATCAAACTGATGCATTCGATAGCCTTTCCACGGAGGAGCCGCAAATCCGGATGAAGAGCATTCTCCATAATGTACTTGAGACCGGGCATGAAACTAAAAGAGGGACATGTGTGCTTGAGTGACATCACAGCACATTCTCCGCAAATTTCCTGTTCCAACCAAATGCGCTGTTACAGTAGTGGTTACGAGTGGTGCGGGTTGAATGACAAGGTCCGTTAAATTAAACTGTTCTAAAAACATTTGTAATTTTGAGGAATCACGTTCTGAATGACCCGATTTAGTCACAAATGCGCACCATCAACACAAATGACACGAGCTCCAGCACGGCACTCAAAATAACACGCGCATTGCAGAAAACGGAGTGCTTACGTATAATAACTGCTGGACGCATACCTTCGCACTTCTAGATGTGCTCAATAAATTAATCTGTGAGGTCATGAAACGGTCGGAGTTCAAACTTGTCAGTACTAGGTTGGTGACCTAATTAGCCTTTTTCATCCACAAAAGCTCAACTTTCAAAAAAGGGGCAAATCTTATGCAGAAAAGTTCCGCTAGAAAAAGGAAAAATGTAGCCTCGAAATTAGGCCGTTGGGTCAATTTGAAAAATCCGACGCTAAACTAATGAACATTCAAGATTCTGTCAAAAAACGGAGCCAACAAAAAAGTATATTGGGGTCACTGATGCGGGAACACACGAGAGTACTGAGTTACGTACCGATCGTAGTAAGGAGCAAAGTTTTCCCCAGCGGCGTCGGCTACGGCCGCGATTGAAGTGACTGTTTGCAAAAGAACAAGCTTGTGGCCTTTTTCAACCATCTCCTGGAATTTTGCTGTCATGACATCTTCCAACTTTTTAACGAGGTCGTCCAGATACTCCACTAGTACACCCTTTTAAAGAAATGGAAAAATATCGAGTAAATTAGGAAACACAAAAATTCTTGCTACGAAAGGTGAGCAAAAAAGACCTCGGAAGAAATAGTAGTCGAGGCATCTCACCTTGGGGGAGGTCTCGCATATATTAACAAGTGCGGCGCCGGCATTGGCCTGTACACGTGGACTCTTATCATCGAGTACGTGAAGAATTGCGGGAATGATGGCTGAATGGTAGTTTTTCTGAAGCCTCGGTCCGAAGTCAGCGGCCATTTGTCCGATGGCGTTGCAAGCAGCATAGCGCACACGCGGGTGGGGATCTGCCATTCGCGGGACGACCTGTTGAATTATTGGACCGAGCATACCTTCCATCTGTTTATGGCAACCTTCGCCACAGGCTGATATAGCCATCAGACCTGCGTGCCGCTTCTTCCAGTCAGCTAAGAACAGAATAAAAGCCTAGATTTGACAAATGACATAGACACACTTTATCTTGCTGTATGAACTGAGAAAAGTCAAGATATTTTGGCTACACAAATTCAACAACCGAAAATGGGATTGAGATGAAGCTGTTGACTTGTTTTACTCAACCAATGCACATAATTGACCGAACAACAAACTAATCGAAAGAGAACCAATGTGACTTGATAACCCTGTTTGCGGAGGCCTCTAGTGCATAAATGACCATCTCAATTGTGCCTACGTCGCAAAAATATTCGTAGGAACAGAACTAGTGATGTTTGCTATTCGAAAGCTGTATGACATCAATAAGGGATTAAGCCACAAGTACTTTTGCAATTTAGGTAACATTGCCGGATGCAAATACCGACGTAAGAAACTTACGGTCCTGAAGCATGGCTGGTACAGTGTGTGTGATCTCATCAAGAACAGCTTGGGAGCCCATGGCGCAAGCAAATCGATCGAGGGCCATTTCCGCGGTGATGGCATTTTTATCCTCTTCATCCTCCTCCGGAGCATCGACGGTGGCCCAGTCAGGATCCTCCTCCAACTCAGTCATCATTTCTAGCAGAGTTCGGACCAGCGGCTCGATTATATTCTTGCCTGCCTTGCGAACGCTTGAAGGAATATTCTCTGACAAGGTGATGATCACCTCCAAGGCGATGTGGCGCATTGGATCGGACAAATTAGTGTTGCACAAAACCTAACACGAAAAAAGGAGATTCGGTAAACTGGGTAAATTGGCAAGGAAATGCCCTGGAAACTTACCTTGTAGCAGAGGTCTAAGGTGAGTGGAAGGAATGGGCGAAGATATTTGGAAGTGGCATCTGCCATTTCGACCAAACATTTAAGCATCGTGTCGTCATCTGAGTCGGACTCCAGGTTAGCTATTACAGCCTGAAAAATAAAGACATAAAACGACGTCACAACTCATGATATTTATTTTAAAATGGATTTAACAGGGAATTAATTCACAAGCGAGATAAATGATAAATTACCATGAGAGCAGGCTGAGCAAGATCTTTGAGCGCATGCTGCACCGAGGTCTCCGTGGAATTATGCACCAGGAAAGCAGAGAGTGCTCGGAAACCGGCAACACGGATCCTGGGGTTGCTGTCGTGCAGACCTTGATTAAGCATCTGACCGATATTAGGCATCAGAGGAGTAGGATCGGGGCCGAAAACAGCTGGCACGGTGGCAAACAAGTGAAGGGCAATTTCACGTAGACCCGACTCAGGGGATCTGAAGCACTCAAATATGAATGGTTGGAACTCGACCCATTGGCACACATTGTCATCACCTATCAAAGGAAGTAAGAATAGAATTACTAACTACCAAATTATTAATTTGTTGATGGAATACATGTAGTGACGATGATTTCGTTATCAGACCTGTAGTGCGACCATTTTAGGAACAAAAATGTCAGAAAATTTAAAAAAAATAGACAGCCGATTGGACACTGTCTACCCATAGAGATAACAAAATAAAGCCAAAACATGAAACAGAAAACAATGGTCGGAATGACTTACCGAAGTGTTCCCGAACAAGTTCTGCAGCTACGTCGGCTATTTTTCGACGCATTTGGTCAACCGACTCATTAACAATGGAAATAAGAAGCTGCTGTTTAATAGCAGCCTTTGTTTCCTCAGGCAAGGGAGCGAAGGCTTCGTCACAATCATTCATCAAGAGTCGGCGACAAAGGACTGCTGATAATGTCCGGTCCTAAAAGAAACGAAATTACAAAAGATTGGCGACACGGAAGTCAAAGATGCAAACGGCAAACCACAACTCGTACGGAAGAGGCACTCCTACCACTCCCAACTGTCCATGGTTTTGCCTCGTTATACGGCACGAGATGAAATGGAATGTTAAATTTTCCGAACTAGCTACCCGAACTTTGAGGATTAGGTCAAAGGTTAGGAGTCACGCAAATTTCGGGATAATTCTTGAGAAAAAACCAACATGTTTCAACGGAGAAGACATCGACTATGATGCTCTAGAGATACTGCAGGGTCATCTTAAGGAATTCGCCACATGAAAATATGTGGAAGGGTACAAACTCGTGACGAATTTCTCAACTATGTGATACACGATTGGCCAGGATTTAATGATAATTCGGCACCAGCAAAAACATTGATTTTGCGAATTTAGCTGCAGAATACAAAAGTGCTACCAAGTTGTTGAGTACAACTTTTCCCTGCATACCATAATTACGTCAGAACGATGCACCAGATAAAGAAAAACCATAAAAACACAATGAGCAGAACCTTAGGTATCATAACACTAGCGTCAAACTTTGACGTGCCCTGTGTCACGCTTTCGATTTCAACCACACCGTTTCGACAATAAATTGACAAATTAATTGATTTGCGCACAGTGTACATCTAAACCGGGTAGATGACAAATTTTCCTTGTCCTTAATCAACATTGCTTTGCAAAATTATTGCATGCTCAAAGCGGTCGAATTGGCTAACGCACATTACATTCTACACGACTTCTTATTAAGACAGTTATCGTCTCAAAACGTTCATTCCAAAAGATAAGAAATCGCGACATAAAAATGGAGTAAGATTTTTATAGCATTACATTAATAACGAGCATGTGTAAACGGGCCGAAAAGCCCAAAATATTACTACTATAAAATCAGAACAAATTACCTGAAAGAAATAAAAAATGATGACTTACGACCGGTGACAGTGTGGCATCTGTCATGGATTGGAGCAGTAGACTAAGACGGTCTGTCGGAGGTATATTTGAAAAGGTTGTCTAAAAGTATTACCAATTAAGCAGGACTTCCTACCTCGGCTTCGGTTCGAATATCATGATCGGGACTTTGAAGTCGATCGAGAAGATTCTTAAAATTCACCAAGTCCATCTTAGCTAAAATCGTAGTAAATCAAGCACAATGTTAAAATACGGAAGTGACAAAAAATACAAACCAAACTATATTTATAGGGAAAGCAGTAAATCAAACAATAATACGTAGTTTAGGGGAAAATGTTAGGAGCCAGATTGTGAAAAAGCGGCTCCATTTTGAATTAGTGTTGGAAACACTGATGGGGGCGGGATATGCGCTATACAGTGGGATGAACCTACAAAAATTGTGGACGCTGAGTACAAGTGGCTAAAATTGACATTTCCATACTGATACATGGAGGCAGCTCGCCGTTATTTTATAACATGGAGCGATTGGACTCTTAATATCAGCTATGTAAATGAGATAAAATTCGTTAATTCAGAGCCATCACCACAGTTCAAGCATGACTGGAACCAGCACATACACTTCTAGTTTCCAGATGAGTTCAAATACATAAATATGAAATTACAAAAGGAAATGCGTGATAAATGAAATAAGAAGCTCAAAACATGCCGGCAGTGAGACATATACTAGCTAACAAAGTAGCGATTATCAAAGTACCAACCTACATGCACCCCGGCAAGTCAAGTGTGAGCAATTACTTAGAAGCTTGAAAATTGCAAACGGCTTAGAACAGAACATCGACTAACCCACTACTTCATTGTCACCCGTTTTTACCTATCTAACGCTACTAAATACGCCTAAACGAGCATTAATGCGATAAAAAAGCAAAGCAAAGAGCCTTCAAATTTAAATGCAGTGTGCAGAAAACGGACTAGGAACCGATTAAGTCAAGTAATGCGCTAAGTATAATAAACAGAGTGAAAAAGCGTGGGCAATATCATGAGTTTCAGGAAACAAGCAACCAGTAGGAATCTGGGATTAACGAACCTACGACCAAACCAACTGACCACACGAAATCGTTAAAGGCACGAAGCAAAAGTAAGGTCACACTAAAACAATTTCTGAAGGGTTCATGTTATAAACGGATAAATTGTAAAATAACATCCTATGAGGTACAACTTGTTTGTGTTTCTATTATCACTATAATTGAATTGCACCAAGCTCTATTAAAGAATGATGCCATGCACTAATGACTTCATGTCTGGTAGTACAACAAAATGGATTCTAATATGAATCTCTATAAAATTATAAGAGAAATGCTTCAACTTATTTATTTAAGACAAATTGACAAAAAAATCGGTCTTTGGGGATATCATATGACATGACTTCTTGAACTAAAATGAGTTTGATGCATTTGGTTGATAAACGTTCTGGATGATATGTACGTCTGCAAACAAGAGCGTTTTTGTATATAGGATCCGTATGTTTTGTGACAACTGATTTTGCGCATTTTAAGAAATATTAGACTTGTGCTTAGTATTTCGTTAATTTATTACTTAAAGATGAAATAGTGATAGCTAGCAAATAATGATGAATAAATTATTTTTCACATCATCAATATCCTTTCCTTACAACGGTCAATTCACTCAGAAGTTGAATTCGATATCATTTTATTATACAAACTAATTAGGACATATTTATCATTTATTGTCTTAATATTGTAAATCGCTATTAATTTACAGAAGATTACTAAAACATCATGCGTCAATATCAAAAACATTCCTTCAAATGTTAGGTGAACAACATTTTTCCTGAACATATGCTTTTGCGCTTACACCAAATTAGTCGACATTCAATGCATGATGAGAGTTATTGTACATTACTGGACTTTTCTAAATCTTGATTTGTCTACATCTATCACACAGGCCGCGGGGCTTGACTGTTTCGTAGAATCACCGACGCAGAAAAGCAGTTCATTTTTTTCAACAAATAGTGGCTAGCAAGTGGCTCAGTTTACAAAATCATCAACGAGCTTTTAAAAAGGGCATTTATTAAGTGTTACTGGATAACTTCTATTGCTGGTGACCAAAATACTACATTCACTCTGTTTTTAGGGAAATCTTTTTTCAATGTAAATAATTTTCCAAATGTCACAGGGCTTTTTTCCCTTTACGTTGACTAATTTCTGCCCTTTGTATGGCAAAATTCACGAGCTTGAATAAGTTTAATTCCAAAGTATTATATAGTACACTGTTTAAGTTGAAGAAATAGCCGGAAATTTTTAATACAGCATAGGGCAATTGTATTTTTATGTTTTATCGAGCCTCGTAAGATCAAATTCTCCGTGATCAACTATAACTTCTAAAGGGATTTAATGGACTATCATTAATATAAAAAATGCCCTTTTTGCAGGATTTTGTTGCTTTATAGTTTGCAACTAAAAAACTATTTTAAACTTCATTTAGTCCATTTGCTGATGCTTGTTGTTCCTATAGCCTTGCAGGAGGCAACACTTTAAAAAAAACTTAATACATGTTTAGCCTGCTTGTATCATAAATAAAGTTCAGAATCTAGCTCAATTATTCTGGTGTTCAAGTTCTAGAAAAAGCTGTGATTGTATACAAGCTCTGTAAACCCATTGCATATTGCAGCAAATGTTTAAAACCTTGTATCTAAAACTGCAGGATGCATCATCTCTACAAAGTCAGGAAAAGAGTAATTGAATAATCACGCTCAATATTATACCATTTTAGGTGTTTTGTTTTTAGAAAATCAAGTTTTAATTTTTGGAGTATCATTTATCATTTAAGTAAAATAAAGCCTTCTTTTCTTCCATCTAAGGCTATATTCCGAATCGTCTGACGATCTATCTAAGTACACCTTCATTAAATCTTGATGTTATTGAACCAGATCATAAAATTGCGTGCACACCACTTATAATACCCCCATTTTCGTAATCACCTAACTTCTTCTTGATGTAGCATAAGATACAGTGGGACAGAGCTCTAAGGTTGCAATACGGCGCACATATCCCCAAGAATATTTCATGTCGAAATACGATTTTAGCCTTTGAATTGAAAAGTTAAGGTGTCTCGTTGATAAAACCTTAGCAGCGTTTGATTTTAACTTGACCCCAATACCTCTTCTATATTTTCAATGAAACTTAAATCTTTAAAGCACAAAGAAATCATTCCTTAATTGATGCCACCAAGTTTGTCAGAAAACTGTAAATACTAAATTTCTTATCTAATTAATTTTATTCAACATTGACTTTCTCTTGAGTGATAGTATGGTGATAAGAAAAAGCTCCCAGGACGTCGATATTGTTTTTTTTTTCAGAACTAGTGCAAGTTCAATTTACTCTCTAAAACCACATTATTTCATCAGAACATTCAGGAAATCCGATAATGTGAATTTAACTGAACAAATCGACCAGACGTTAACTAAGTTGAGTTAACTTGTGAAAGACTTAGAAAAGGTTACTTGATGAGGTGGGCTGTTGTGTCAAAATGATAGCTTTGTCTGTTACCTGGCGAACTGCCTATGTTCGAGGCACTATAACATTTTGGTAACCATTACCATTATGTAAACTAAACTTATGAATTAAAATGTAAACTAATCGACGGGAATAAGCCCAAATAAGCGATATTGTTAATTTCTTCGTTGTAATTAAGCAAAAATATGGGGGGATTAAGGAATGCATACTTGTCCAAAATGGCACGTAACGTGTTCGCCCTCTTGCCTGTTCCAAACCTATGCATTCAATGACGAATTATTGTGTTTCTCGCGGAAAAAACCGCATTGTAAATTAAGCGGTTGAGCAACATAGTGTTCACTCGCTTCACATGCTGTTTTCGACGTTTCATCGCAGATGGTTTCTGACTGCTGGCAATTATAACAAATGAACTTGTCATTCCTGCTTCTGCCTTTATCTGCCTCTGTCTGTCGTCTTCTCTGCACTGACGAAATCATGTCCTTGAAGAAAAAACAGTAATTTACGTAACTCCATCACGTAAATCGTGGTTTCTATCATCTGGAATAATGCTAATGATTAATCCGTCTTAATACGATCTTCACATAGGCATAATTTAGCATCTTGTGGTGCAGGAACAAATTACTGTAAAACATAACGGATTAGCTCTACATTATATACGCCGTGCACATTTAACTCAATGGATTTAAAAGTCATGATAATAAACTGGAAAGTTTGATCCAGTTTGAATGTACTGTAGAGTCGTTTTCACCTTTCAACAATATGGATGTGACTAGAAAATCTTCTGCATTTAGCGAAAAAACTGCAAAGCAATGTGCATATCTCCGTATTTCCCTGTCACAACACATACTCATCACCAACAGACCAGCATTGGACTAATCTTTTTTTAGTTCTCGTCCATATTCCGTGTACATTGATTTCTAGTGGATAATAACTTCAAAGATGGAATTTTTCTTGCTGGATGAAATAGATGACCTACCGGACAGACTTCCTCGCATTGGTACGCACCGGACACCTGATCTCCACCGAGTCCTGGTGATGGGTTTCTAGGTTGGATCGCCGGGTTCCTTACTGACGGTAATTGCCGCAGTCGACTAAGCATGTTTTCCACGTGGTAACTGAGAGGAATTCGAACCTGTGTGTAGGGTGCTGGACTTTCTTTGCCCTGATTCCCAACATGCGCCTGAGGTGATGGCGAGCGTTTCGGAATTTTGCTGCTGCTAGCCTCACTTGCACCGGTTCGAGACAGAGCCAAAACATCACTGGCGGAAACTTCGCTGTTTGCCTGTAAAATCAGAGTATTGGGGTTTGCCAAATGTTGGCTAACATTTGGGCTTGATCTTCAAAATTATCTTGTGGAATTCATTTGTGTTGGCACCTAATTTAGTTTTACGCCTTTGATTAGAATCCATTCTACCAATTTCCTTTGGCAATAGGACAGTAATTACCTCCTTTGTTGTCTAAACCAAGGCCTGAGTGATGGTTTTCACAATTTAGCCATTAGCCCACAGTCAGGATTAGCGTGTTTGCGTCAGATTAAACGCGAACTAATCGTTGCGTGAAATTCTAGCACACCATTTTTGTTTCTTTGAAAACCACACGTCTTGATTTGCATACACTTGCTCAAATACGTATACACACTTAGTTTTTTTTTTACTTTTTTTCGAGCTATGGTAACAATCACAACTAATGCAATTATTGACCAGTTGTGTCAGTGAACCTATGAATAATAAGACTTTGTGGTACGTCAGGAAAAGCTGCTTTTAACGAAGGGTGTAGATGTTCAGCGTGCTTGCATAGTAGTGGTCTTATGGAAAATCTCTAATGGAAACATTTGACATAAAAAAGGATGCTTTAAATCGTCTTCTTGTGAATCTTCGAAGCCATTTTGATGATGTGACCCAACGAATTGTTCAAATTTTATTGGTGTTTTAAATGAACCGAAGTGAATTGACTTAGCGTCCATTGATTCTGTTTTCCTAAATACTTAATTACGGGATAATTTTCGCCAGCTCTTACTCCAACTTGGGAAGCGAGTGTGGGACTATTCTGCATTTGAGCCTCTGCCCAGGGGTCGAAGAAACCGCTCCTTTCTTTTTCCTGGAGGATCTTTGAAACCGCACGCAAATGCCGAGTGCTGCGGAAGGGTCGCGTGTTGTCGTCTCTGTCTTCTCTTTCTCGCGAACGCATCTCAATTATTCTCAGGTCATCTACCGCGGCTGGTGATGGCTCGCCTTGGAAGACATTCCACCAAAACCAAAAAACACCAGACATTAGCATGTGGTAGAAGGCATTGCCGAAGAAAATCAGTAAAAAGAAAGCCGACAGGAAGGAGATGCCGGCGCAGAGACCCAGTGTGCCACCGAAATTCGCCATCAACGCAAACAGCGAATTTGTTTGCTCCTCCTGCCAGGTGTCGACGCGTGGGGCACTCAAACGGATGTCGAGAATGGCGATGTTTTTCCCCACTGCAAAATCCAACTGAGCAGATGTGTCATCGATCATTTGTGCCCACCTCGAATGTAGAGTTGTGTTTGGGCCTACGGTCGAGAAATTGAGATCCATCATGTGTTTTGTTAGAACTGGGAGATTAATAACGAAGCTTTCATGGATTTCCGTCAGGTCGATGCTCCTTGTTTGGTAAAGCGTCTGAAATCAGAATACTATGGTAGTGTAAAATGGTTAATTTTTTTTTTACAAGCTCAAAGATATGCTTGGAGGTGCGTGCAGATGAGCAAAATAGTATTGCTTGAACTATGGATGAACTAACTATCAATGAAAAGATATAATCGATTTCAGATCAATCGAATCCCGAGTCAAGCAATCCCTGTTGTTTTTTCTCCGGATTTTGAAACAAAATTAAAGCCTTTGTCAATTGATATCCCGGTGCGATTAGCATGAATTCAATAGTGAGTTCTGTGTAGCTCTGGACTTGGCTTTACTTGATGGAGAACCATAATGTGCAATTACTTGATTTTCCCGCAAGCGAGTTGTGTCACGAACGCGGGTCAAAATAACTTCCTTGTAGAATTTCTGACCAGGGGTTTCGCAAAACGAAAGATGGTCTAGGATCAAACATTTCTGCGGCAATGAATTGTGCAGATTTATCTTCAGGATCGCAAATGAACTAATTGCAAAACAAGTGTAAGATAAGGAGGAAATGCATAAATTTGCAAAACCAGTTGTTGATCAGCTATAAATTTTGAAGGCACAGTTTTGGTTATTATTTTAATTTTGTATATAAAAAGTAATAAATTGCTATTCCGTGATTTCTCCAACTTCATTTTATAAATTTCAGTGTGTGGGCTCAATGCCACGTAGGATTGTTACATGAATTTGTAGGCATATCAATATAGCGAACTTTATGGTCCTTCCATAGCCTTTAGCTTCAAACGTCAAATTACCACCTTCATTCTAGTTTATTATTCATTCTATTAAATGCTTGCCATACCTCTATTTAGCCGTGAATATGACACATTGAGGTCACAATAACGAAACTCATTGGATTGTCTAAAAATGGAGATGGGAATTATCCTAAAGTTGCTATTCCAAATGATTTTAGCAATAAATCTTGCTAAAATCAGTGTGCTTCTTGTCGGTTGCATCATGCTGTGTGCTTTGCATGAGCGATTTCGTTTAAATAATTTCAGGTGATGTCTTAACACAAGAAGCCTCTTTTCAACATCAGCCATTAGAGTAGATAAATCTGTCCACATTTAATGCATTTGGGATGCCAACTTTGCCAACTCGTTAGTAGTTAGCGGCTCAACAAGAACGTCCACTTACTTTTTGACAGTTAACGGGACACACTTCTTGACGCAGCTTCTTTCTCACGTCAGGATCATTACGTGACTCCCAGATCTTAGCAGGACTGACGTAGGCGTCGAGAACGCCTGAAGTGGGCAATTTTATCAGCCTTTCGTGGCATTCAAAGTTAATGCGTGCTTGCTGCGACGTGCGGTGGCGGAGGTCGCGACAGAAATCGACCTTGAGCTTGGAGAGATCGAGTACGTGTGGTTTGCCCACAGCCTGAGGGTCGTCATCGGGTTCGGGAATGTGTGGCACCAACAGGAGATCGGAATAACAGCCGCAAGTTTCCAGAATTCGTGACTGCTTTCTGTTTGCTACACAGTCCTCGTAAGTGTAGTTGTACTCTAGGCACTTGGTCGATCCACCAAAACTCTTGTATCTGTACAAATCGTAGAGTTATTTTCACTTAACTATGCGCAACCGCCGAAGATAACGTGTGAGACACAGACACACTAAAATGTCTTAAGACTTGTTCTGATATACAAATAACCAAAGGTGGCGGAACACTCTAGAAATGTAGGAATGTTTGCAGCTTCAATGCGTTAGTACTACCAGTCACAACAGGAAGTTTGGTATTATGCGAACTTTTTGGCGTGATTTGGTGTTGGACCACACTTCATCGCAGTGTTTGTCACTTCGAGCGATATATGGGTCCTGGTTTCACGGATTTAATTGAAACAGCCTTCTAGCCATTTGGGAATAAAGCAAGGACATTTCGTAGACACATAACCCAAAGGCTGCATAGTTCCCTATAATGTTAAACAGAAACTCAAGTTACCGCACACACACCAAATACACCCTGGTCATTTGAACTGCCACAAGCCTGGACACCGATAAAACTTTGAAATAGAAGAGTGAGTTGGAGTGATTCGTTTCCACCAACTTAAGTACTTCAATTCCTCATCAACCAACCTAATGTCAGGCGATTGAAGAGGTTAGGCTCACCGATAAGGCAAAGGATTTCTTGTGCACTTTTTGGATCCATCGCTGGACGAGACGAATTCCAAGCCCGTGACCTCCACCCTGGCGATTTGACCAAAGTGAACAGCAAAGCTGGTAGGCATGCTACTGATCTCATAGCCAGGGAAGGTTCCCGGGTTGTGTACAAAAACGTTGATTCCATCATAGTTCGGTGCATCGAACATGTGGCTCTAGGAATTAATAAAATGGCTATAATCATCTCAGATGTATACCCGACTACTCACTCTCCCAATGTCCCTGCTTCATGTCGATGCTGGTTTATGCTGGTAAAATGTTTAGCTCTCTGATGACCGAGGTTTGTTTGCAAAGTTTGTGTGAGTTTTTAAAACGCCTCGCATCAACTTAAAGTAAATCGGTGGACTTTTTTAAAGTACGCAACCTGAGCTAAATTGAAAAGTGCATTGAAAACTGACCTCAAGGTCGTTTAAAAGCATGTAGGGTTCGGAACTACTCCCGCTTTGCTCTGCCAGGTAAACGATTGAGAGACCAGAACCACCCGTTAAATTGCGCTTGTTCGGTCGTGGTGAAAATGTGAAGCATTTCAAATAACGCAGATGAACAACTTCAGTGAAATTGGCGAAGGAACAGTGTTCTCCGTTATAAGCACAATAAACTAGGTGCTTGTAACTTTCCAGCTGAGTTCGACCTAAAAGGATGAAGGTTCGCACAAGGTTACCTGCGTCAAATAAGACAGCAGAACTTCCATGAAAACAATTAAGTTGATTGCAGGTCATGATCTACCTCATATGGTAGAAGCTGAAATAAAACTCTTAAAATTTAGTCTCTATTATCACACACTATTGAGAACATGAAGCCCACCAGAATCGATCACACGAATCCAACCCAAACGTTTTCAGGGCTGGTCTCTCCGCTAGCCGAAAGTTACACGCACACGCACATACATGCACACAATTTTGCACCTTGTCATCTGGCCTAAAATAGCATCAGTTGCAAATATTCAAAACAGCTGCTTTGCCACATGTGGTCACCAACACGCTCTACGATGCTCAGAAGGGTCCAAGTTGTGTTACCGAGTTGTATACCGAAATTCCCTTGGTCTGCTCTGTTGAGGCGTGTCCGAGGAATTTACCACAGGGGGAAATTAAAAATCAACAAAGGAACCCTTAGCATGTGGGCCGGCTAGCCTCAGATTCAGACCTGCCATATTCACATCTAAAACACTTTTAGTGAATAATTATAACTGGAAAAAAACGTTGTTTCATCCGAAAAATGAAGTTATTTCCACTGAACCACTGCTGTCAGGATGTGTGTGGCACTTTCACGTGCGTATTTATAGCTCAGACTTGTGAAACACCGTGGCATAGATGTGCTGACATCGAGACCTAAAGGGTTTGGCATTGCAAGTAGGGATAATCTTGGATAAATACCCGTGAAAATCCGGTGAGTTGAGGTTCCCCCAGACCAGACGGCACTTTGTCAGAGGCGAAGTAAAAGCGCGTGAATATGCACGATTCACAACAATATTTTATGGAATTCTAAGTACATTTTTTTTCAGGAACTTAATAATGGCCGTCGCTTTCGCACATGACTCTTATTTCGGAAATGGTTCTCCATCTATCCGATTAAGGCATCGGAAATGTTGCAAAAGCTGGTAAAGTATGCATCTGGGGTTATCCAAGTAACATACAACCCTTCTCATTTGTGTTGGTTTTTGGAAGTTAATGCAGGTTCTTCTGGCTCACCCACGGATGATCAAAGTCATGCGTAGATGCCGTTCGCCTTGAGGATTGGATAATCTTAAGAGACATCTAAGTAGAGCAATCATTCCGCAACTACTTATATCAGTGAATTGACGGCCTTACGATGAACTTTTGAATTAAAGACATTTGATCTATCATTTAAAACCATGCCTAGTTAATCAAATCAATCGTCGTTTTTTATCATGTACTTCATGCAGTCTTGTTTCACACTAGGTTTTTTTGTAAAACCTATGTTTTATTGGCCAGTCAAATATTTAGAAACTGTTGAAAATGCTGCTAGACGTATTTTATTTTTGTTCAAACTTACGTCGTTGAGTAGCCAGTTGTATCAACATGGCAGCCTGTACATTCGCATCACTTGCGTGCAGTCCAGCATAGTTCAGTTTTTGCTTGACTTGCTTTTGCAGGTCGTCAAGTTCATCTACCTCCTTTTGCGAAAGGGAGCGTTTGGAGAATGGAGACACGGGGCATATTGTTACGTCGGGAAAGGGCAGATTTGAGTGTTCAGTCAAAATTTGTGTTGCGATGGGATTTGAGAAGTACGTCACGAGTAAGTCTCTTAGAAGCATGTACAGAATAAACATGACGACTAGGAAAACAATAATCCAAAAGATGGCAAGCCACCCCGTGCGAATATTAATGTGCTTCAACGCGTGCTCCTTGCTGCGTGCATGTAAAAACCTTCTTCGAGCCAATCGTTTATGACGTGTGATGTAGTAGGGCAGGTAGGAAGGAGTTCTTTTCTCAAAGTATTCCATAGCAGTCGCTTCACCTGCCAGCTCGGTTTGTTCCGTTGATTCTTTTAGAGTCCCCATGTCTGCACGTGATCTAGGCACACTGATCATGACACGAATGTAAAAACCTGAGTTTAAACCAACTCCATCGATTAATTCGAACCTATCTGTCCACAGAAAACTGGCCATAGAGATCGTAAAATTGACCAGAATACGAAAGTGAACTTGCGGCTCCTTGTAACCTCTTAATTAAAAGCAATTAATATTTACATTCCCATGCATTTTGAAGGGTAACAAGTAGCGTAGATTAAAGTACCATTGTAAAAAAAAATATAGGTGCTTGCTGTTCCAATTAAAATTAATGATCTGTACATCTTCATTCCTGAAACTAAATAAACCTTTTTCTTGATGTAAACTAGTTTTCCTCTACTTCGTTGTAAAATATGCCTAACTTCAGACATTGTATAGTGGTTCTTCACATGATATTTTATTGAAATTAAACAGCCCACTTTGAAATGCATTTTGCTTCTCAAAGACCATTCGAATTTCACAAAACCAGGTAAATTTTTTGCAACGCTCGAGTAGTTCATAGTGCATCTTTGATTTCAAAATCGAGCAATCAAGGCTTAGCGGATTTATCTGCGTGTGTCTAGGTTCACAATCACTTTGGCAGAAATTTTCTCCAGAAAAATATCATCAGCTTTTTTCTCTTTCGAACTTCGATTTTGAACTTTAAGCTTGTCAAATATCAAAAAAAATAATTGACTTAATGACCGAGGTTAGCGATAACTTTGATGGTACCAGAAAACGAGGTAACCTTCTATATGCCTTATTTCTCTATTGAGATCAGGTTGTCTTTAAACTGTGGTAAAACTTAATAATATTCAGCTTAACGGAAGCATCAATACTAAACACTAAATATCCTAACTCAAGCCCTCGTCTTAATTACATTATTCTCCTTAAACTGTAGAGCAAGGTTATTCTGTCCCCAAGACATTGCAAAGTAATGACGTAGTGGACTGACCACTATAAGTGCTTCCATTGTTTCAGGTAAAATTTAAAGAGCTTCTTAAACTGACTTTGTGCAAAGTTGATGTAGACAAAGACTAGGCATTTATCTCTAACAAATACAAATCCCTGTCGAAAAAAACTAAGTGCACTAAATTGTATAATTTTGTGTACTTTACTAGAAGCAATTTATTCTGCCTTGAGAATTTTTTGAGCTTTGACTTATTACTAACCTAAATTTAAAATTGTTTTTAATTTTTCCCTGGGAACCAGTACAGGGACTGCTGCGGAAATGATCACGATTCCATAAATTAAAATGAGACACTCTAGCTCTAAAAAATATTTTGCATGCAGGGAAGCATTTAACTGCTTTGGAATGCTGAAGTGTAAGAAAACACAATTTTAACGCGCCTACCGAGCGGGGATCTAAATAGGAAGATGACTGTTAGCCCGTCCCTCTTAGATAGCCACATCGTCATGGCTAGCTACCAGGCAAACGATAGAAGAATAGCTGGAAGAACCGGATGTATTCCATACTACCGCATACAAACTCAGAGGACTAGAGCTTAGAGGGAGTTAGAGTTGAGAGAGGGATGGTCGCGAGGAGGGTTAGTGTTGCCCTCGGACTCACGGGCGTGCCTTGAGGAAGGCAAAAGTGAGGCAAGGGAGAGGAGGACAAAGAACAGGCCAGATCGGCGTGTGTGGGTCGAATGTCGCGCGTCACAAAATCAAGATTTAATATTCGCGCAAAATTCATGCATAATTACGATCGTTTACAAAAGGTGCTCCGATTAATTGGTTAAAATAACTTAGGAAATGAGTTAAATTACAACTGACTAAGTGGTAGCGAATTCTTGGTCATTAGTCTGGTGGACTGCATGCTCCACGACCTGGATTATAAAAAATGACAAAGTCAGAAATTTTCTGGGTCTATAAATCTTTACTAACTTTAATCTTAAAAACTGATTAGTCACAACAGTGGTACTTAGCACTTTTAATAAAATATTCGAAAACCTGTGGGTCAACTATTGATCGGTAGTCCCGAGCACACAAACCTTAAATGAAGTAGCTAGTTCCACGAGGGGAGGGGGCTTAGGAAAATTCTGATTCTGTGGTGAGGGAACTGTAGGAGCCTTCGGAGAATTCGTGGTGGCACACTGGTATTGAGGGCTACCCTTGACCAGGTCTGCGATGTGTTAATTTATTCGTGGCCAGTAGGCGTAGTTACGGTCAGTGGTGGGGTGTCTTGAGTGAAAGTGATTTGGGCACAACGACGCGTATTCCGCGCATCAAACAGCCGTCATCAAAGTGGAAAGGTTCGCGTAACTTATGCAACTGCTGAAGGTCGTCAGTGAGGGAACACTTTGGAAGTCTACCTTGGATAAAGTGGATGGCCTGCTGGAGTACCGTGACACAGGCGGTCTTCCGTTTGATGTAACTGGCCGTGACTGAGAAATCAGGGACTACCTGTGACAGTTGTTCAGTGTGGTTGTCTCTGATGGATGTGGTAATGATAGACGCTTCCTCTTTGGTGACCGAATTGCTACTGGTGGGGAAGTACTGAGCCTGCGCGTCTTGGCAAACGGAGATGATTGGGATACAGGTGAAATCCAATTGCTCAAAACATCCCAGGCATAGTGCCAGGACCCACCGTGCCAACACACCAAAGGAGGTGTGTGCTGGATGGGAGGGGTGGTGGGCCAGAGGGGTGAAGGACCAGACGTGGAAGGCGTTTGGGCGATTTGCTGCACTGCATTGATTTCATTAAAACTGTGTCCCAGCCACTTTCCGGATCATAGGTGAACTCTTATATTGCTAGTGATTGCGTAAATTGACGGTGTGCAGACGTGATCGGCTTGGGAACCCTGGCGATCTGCCAGCATCGACACAGGGGGTTAGAGTAATTGTTCCATCCTTTTATCGCACATCTCACCTGCATTTAACAATTTGCTACGGTTTCCAGTACCGAGAAGCTAAACACCAGAGCATAAATAATCTGACCTATTTTTTAGCGTGTGATAAGCCTAGCACACTAGCACTTCAGCAGAACACATATGAGTCAGCGACTCCCCATGCTAATGCAACAGAAGACCTCGTGCTGAGAGTGTACTGGCACAGCCAAGGGCCGAGTACACGTTCACAAACTCCCGCTTAGATACGGCGTGTAGTAGCTTGATCTTAGCACTACCTTACAACCCTCTAATCAACAGCCCAAGATAACTCGAGTAGAGTGGAGAAGAGGCGAGAGCGGACACGACCGGTTTATTGATGTCAAAACAACCAAGTGGCTTTGTGTGCGTATGAGCACGCGTGCGTAACAGGCGAATGCTGACAAAAATCAATAACAGAAGGGGATGAGTCATCGCTACACACGGGCCTTCATGCACGCACACTCGCGCGGGGCGGCTGTCAGTCCACTACAGGCGCATGCGGTCTTGAATGGAAGATAAATAGTACGCTCAAGGGTGCACGGACCAATAGGAAGAAGATGTGGAGTCCGAATATGAAAGCTGATGTGTAACAACGTTAACAATAATGAAAAATAAGAGCAATTACGATCATCTTGAAGGATATATCCTAATGGATGCGAAATCCTCAATATCATCGAATTACATTCATTGACAAAGTAACTATTAGACATAATTTACGTGCTCATTCTTAGAATTCAATATATTTGAAAGTGCATTGAACATTCGTCATAGATAGTATTAGCTCAGTTCGGAATGATTCAATATGTCTGCCATGCTGTAGATTGCCCGAGATCTAGTATGAAAAAGACTGGTACAACAAAACCGGCTTTGTCGACAAATCACAAGCCAGAATCACACGTCAGGCGCCTTCCATCCAAGTCCACCACGCTGGCTGTCGCTCATTATATATTCTTGTCGGTCTCTAATTGGTTGCCTATCTTCCTCGCAGCCGAGACAGAGGATTGGCTGAGATAAGCGTCGTCCAAAATGTCTGCGCCCCTATACGTCGTTGCGCTACAGGTGTAGAATACCCCAGCCATAATAGGCAAAAGACCGGCACAACAGCACAGGCTTTATTGACCAATCAGAAGCCAGAGCCACGCGTCAGGCGCCTTCCATCCGAGTCCACCACGTTGGCCACGCCGC